TTTAATTCTGGGACACACACACACACACACACATATATATATATATATATATATATATATATATATATATATATATATATATCAGCTCACCCAGGAAGGTAGGCCATCAAGGGGAAGGAAAACCTTGATTTTAAACTGCTGCTGCCTTGTGATCAAATCCAAAGCCCAAGTGGAGTCCCAAAGACAGTTGGCTGTCAACACTGATAACTTTCTGGCAACTCCTGCAGCCAAGCCATATGAATCAATGAGATAGTATTTGCTGGAACAGCATAATTTGACATGAGGCCACGGGGAGCAGTCCAGATATTTCCTCTTGGCATTTGATATGAATAAGATGTTAGCTTAGAAAGTTATGTTTTCTTTACAGACTTTCACTGCGATTACAAAAGTATAGTCTTGTTTAATCTATTACATTACCAGCACTAAATAGTATTTTAAGCATTACTTCTATTCTTTTATGTAAGTTTATGTAACATCGACTTTGCAAATCAAGAAATCTAAACAGAATGGGTTGATTTTTTTTTTTTTTTTTAAATGTACAAGTAAAAAAAGTCTTTAAAATCATTTTTTTATCAAGATAAAGATATGTTTAAAGATAGAAAAAAATAATCACTGAAATGGAATTTAAAAAAAAAAAAACAAGAAAAACAAAAAGTCCTTCATGCTCCCAAATAAATACCACTGAAATTTGCATGTTTCTCTGGTATTGGTTTGTATCAGAATATTTGCCAGAAGACATAATAGTGAAATATATCTGATTGATAAATGACGGAGTCATTAAGTTCCCATGATTTTTCTTTGGGGGGGGGTGAAGAATAGTATGCTACATTATAGTCATCATTTATGTATTTTGAATATAAAATTAAAGAGGAAGAAATTATAGAATAAACTTTTAATTTCTCAAATGCATGCATTTCAGGATGTTGTATTTTACTTTGTCCAAATAGATATGGTTAATTTTTGGTGTTTTAGATAATTCTTATATTTGGGGAAGTTCTGTGGAATGGTAAAAAAAAAAACTGCTTCTTTTCTCTTTAAAGACTTATCTATTTTTGGTTTTGATTTTTTTTTTTTTTTTTTCATCTTTATTCAAATTTTCTCTCCTCTTTGCATGTCTCTTTCTTAAAAACAAAGCTTAAAGGGTGGACAAATTTGATTAATGCATCTCACTTAAACTTTAAAACTAGTGTTTCCAAATTGTTGCCCCAAATGAGAAACAAGTGACACTTGATGACAGCCAGCCCATCACCCGCAGTCACATTTGTTGTTGGGTGGCATGCTTAATCCCTTCAACCTAAAATAATGCAAATTGATTACAGCACACAGATAGTTTAGGAGTTTTGGTATTGGAAGTGGATTTTCTTTTCTGTTTTTTTTTTTTTTTTTTTTTGCACAGGAAAATAAAGAATCTGTTTCACTATGAA